GGGGGGGGGGGGCCCCCAATGTGTTCAGCAGTGAACCTGGAAGAGGACCAGAAGTACTTCCAGTCCATTTCTGGGTCTGCCAGGGAGCGTGCAGGGGGGGCCCACATGCTCCCTTCCCCCCTCCCCCGGCTCTGCGATCAGCCACGGGGGGACCCTAAGTGTCCCCCAGGCCCAGGAGGCACCAGTTGCCAAGCCGGGGAGGCACAGGGAGGCCCCCAGCGTGCTCTCTGGCAGACCCAGAAGTGGACCAGAAGTGATTCTGGTCCACTTCTGGGTCTGCTACCAAGCGTGCTGAGGAGCCCCCTGAACTCCTGTGGGATGCTCCATGCACCCCAGCATTGCAGCATTCACAGCCCACCTGCTACTTTGAGGTTTGTAGAAAAAACATCTAAAGCTGTGTCTATGTCCGAATCTCCGAATCTTTCCGAATCTCTTTGAAACGATTCAGAGGGTTCCGATTTGATTTGGAGAGATTAAAGGGTCCTCTGATTCGATTTGGATTCAGAGATTCGACCACCAAATCGGGCCAAATCTCTGCTGAATCGAATCAGGGATAGAAGCTTTGCATAGCCCTAATAGCCAGTGTCTCAAGCTGGGTATATGAACAGACTCAAACTGGTATTTATTCTCCAAAGAGCTTCTATTGAACAGTCACTTGGAGTTGTGAAAATCATATTTCTTAAGCTCTTTTGTTAGTATTTACATATTCCACATTACAGCAGTTTTTATGTACTCCACAACCTCCTATTTACTCATCTTTCTGGCACCCAGGAAAGGAAGGGAAGTGCTATTATCCCTATCTCACAGACGGGAAACTGAGACATTGAGAACTAAGCAACTTACCCAAGGACACAAAGTAAACTGTGGGAGAGCAAGGAATAGATAGAATTTAAGCCTCCCATGTCCCAGGCAGGTGCCCTGAGAATGTCACCTTCCTTCCACTCAAACTTCTGCTCCTATGAGGGCAATGATGAGTCCCAATTCTCATTTCCACACCCAACCCTAGAGCTGTCAATCACTGTTCACCCATGCTGAGGCTACAAGGGAGCAAACCCTCTTGGGCTGCAGATGGGGGAGGCTCTGCCGTCACGGGAAGTCACCTTCTGGTTTTTCTAAAAGGCACAATAGTCTGTAGCATAGGCAGGTCTCAACATGGGCAGCAAATATTCATAAAATTCTTCATACGCTTGTACTGAGCTCTGGCTCAGGATGCTGATAGCTGTCCTGAAGGGGCATTTTCTATTGGTGGAAAGAGACATTGCAAGAAGCTGTTCCAATATTTATTTCTTTAAGTGCAGGGAAGACTAACTTTGCTCCATATAGAGTGATGTGACTGCAAACAAGCTAACATCATGCCCTATCAGGCAGTGAAGAGGCCACTCCCGTACCGACAGGCACTGCCAGTGGCATAGAGTAGTTAATAATGCATTCCTTTCCTTTTTAGGTCAAAGTTAGTATTCTCTGCACTGCTTTGCTATAAATATGTATTTACGCTTTATGATTACACAAAAGAAAAACAGAACATTCCACAGGGAGAAAAAATAACCCCAGCCATTCAGGATTCCCTGCTTCCACTCCCACCTGGGAGACTACACAAGAGATATTTGAATGTTGGTTGGCTGAAAGGACTGGGTCTAAACAAATCCTGCACCTGAGTGCAGTGCCATGAAGTGTGTCCCTCCCACTCACACCTCCTGTGCACACACCAAACCTTGAAATAAGTGCCCTGAAGGCATTCCATGCTGGAGACAGAGCATGTCCACACCATGGTAGCAATGTGACCTGGCCAGGATGGCACTAAGCACATCCCAGGTCCATACTCCTGCTCGCATGAGCCAAACCTGGAAATACACCAGTAAAGACACTCTGGCATAGCTTCCAGCAATCACTTTCATGCGTGCCTAAAATCAAGTCTCAGGAGTGGCCTCAGAGGACTCCCTGGAGTGTTGTCACCAGTATTTTACTGGGTTTAGTGCAGTGGCAACCTGTAGGGGATACACATGCACCCCTTGAGAGCGCTGGTGCACCTCCTGTCAGGCCACACTCCTTGCTTAGGAGACAGGCAGAGAGGCGGACAGCAGCACCAGTGCCCTCCCTGCAAGCGCCAGCTGGGGAACTGGGCCGCCAGCAAAAGCGGCCCTGCCACTTCCAGAAGTGGCTGTGGGAGTGAGATCAGCAGCTGGGGGACCCCACCCTGGTCGCTGAATGATGTGAGGGGGGCACCAGTCGCCCATAGTTCAGTGCATGCAAGTGGGAATCAGCAGATGGAGTGGGCTTGGGGTTTCCCAGTGAAGGTATATCCCTTAGGCCTGTGTGAAATGGCTAGTATTTGCTTTGGATTCGGCTGATTTGGAGGACAGTGATTCGATTCAGTGATTCTGTCCCAATTCGATTCAGCTGAATCTGATTCAGAGATTCGGCTGCTACCGAATCTCTGAATCAGCCAGGCCCATCCCCGACCCGCTCTCCCAACCCGGCAATGGCTGCCCCACCCACCCCAGCTCCTGGCTCTTGTTAAAAAAAAAAAAAGCGCCAGCTCAGCAGGTGCTGCCAGGCGGGGGGTGACCCCTGCTGCCCCCCACTGCCCCACGCTGCACAGGGGGCTCTGCACGGGCTCCCAAAGCCCCAAGGCCGCTGCAGGAGCAGTGAGTCCCAGGGCTTTTCTGAACACTTTTTTTCTTAAAGGGCCAGAGCTGGCCTGGGCAGGGAACCTGTGGGGGGGTTGAGGGAGTGAGGGGGGTTGGAGGCT